AAACAAACATTGAACTATAATAAATTATTTGTTTTTCAGGGGCAAATTTGCAACTTACTTTATTGATTTATTTTTTGAGATGGAGTTTCGCTCTTGCCCAGCCTGGAGTGAAGTGGCGTGATCTCAGCTCACTGCAACCTCTGCTTCCCGAGTTCAAGCGATTCTCCTGCCTCAGCCTTCCAAGTATAGCCGGGGTTATAGGCACCCATCACCACATCTAGCTAATTTTTGTATTTTTAGTAGAGACGGTGTTTCAACATGTTGCCCAGGCTAGTCTCAAACTCCTGACCTCAGGTGATGCACCTGCCTCGGCCTCCCAAAATGCTAGGATTACAGGTGTGAGCCACCACGCCTGGTCACAACTTACTTTAAAATGCAACCAAAAACAAAACGGATAGAATGATGTATAAATGTATAGAAGATGTGACAAAGCAAATACAGTAAAACATCAATTGTAGAATCAAAGTTGTGGGTATATGGGTGTTCACTGTTCAATACCTTCAATTTTTCCATATACCTCAAAAATTTTATATAAATGCTGTAGAATAAAAAGTGAATAATAATTAAAAGATAAAGGTCAATGTCAAATTTGAGAGAAATAGAGGCTGAGCACAGTGGCTCACACCTGTAATCTTAACATTTGGGGAGGCCAAGGCAAGCAGATTGCTTGGGCCCAGGAGTTTGAGACCAGCCGGGGCAACACGGCAAAATGTCGTCTCTACAAAAATACAAGAATTAGCCAGGCTTGGTGGCACATGCCTGTAGTCCCAGCTACTGAGTGAGACCCTGTCTCTAAATAAATAAATAAAGTGCCATGGGAAAAAAAATCAAGCCAGGCAGGATGGCTCACACGTATAATCCTAGCAGTTTGGAAGGCTAAGGAGGGAGGATCATGGGAGGCCAGGAATTCTACACTAGCCTGGGGAACCATAATAAGATGCTGTCTCTCAAAAAATTTTAGAATTAGCCAGGAATGGTGGCATGCACCTGTAGTCTTAGCCAGTTCAGAGGCTAAAGGAAGAGGCTCACTTAGCTCAAGGCTGCAGTGAGCCATGATTGTGCCACTGCACTCCAGCCTGGGTGACAGTATCAGACTCCAAAAACAATTGCAACAGAAAAAATTGACAAAAGGGATCTAAGTAAACTGAAGAGCTTCTTCACAGCAAAAGAAACTGTCAACAGAGTAAACAGACAAACTATAGAATGGGAGAAAATATTTGCAAACTATGCGTCTGACAAAGGTCTAATACTCAAAATCTATAAGAAACATAAACAAGTTCACAAACAAAAAACAAACAACATTTAAAAGTGGGTAAAGGATATGAACAGACATTTTTCAAAAGAAGACATACATGTACCCAACGAACATATGAAAAAATACTCAACATCACTAATCATTAGAGAAATGCAAGTCAAAACCCCAATGAGATATCATCTCACACCAGTCAGAATAGCTGTTTTTGTTTTTTGGGTTTTTTGGTTTTTGTTTTTTTTCAAACAGGGTCTCACTCTGTCTCCCAAGTTAGGATGCAGTGGCACATACATAGTCACTGCAACCTCCACCTCCTGGACTTGAGCAATCCTCCTGCCTCAGCCTCCCGAGTAACTGGGACCACAGGTGTGTGCCACTACATCCAGTTAACTTTTTGATTTTTTGGTAGAGATAGTGTCTGACTTTGTTGCCCAGGCTGGTCTCAAACTCCTAGGCTCAAGAGATCCTCCTGCCTCAACTTCCCAAAGTGCTGGGATTACAGACATGAGCCCCCATGCCCAGTCAGAATAGTTATTATTAAAAAGTCAAAAAATAAAAGATGCTAGCAAGGTTGTGGCAAAAAGGGAACATTTACACACTGCTAGCAGGAATCTAAGTGAATTCACCCACTGTGAAAAGCAGTTTGGTGATTTCTGAAAGAACTTAAAACAGAATTACCATTCGATTCAGCAATCCCAGTATTGAGTATATACCCCCAAAAACAGAAAACATTCTACCATAAAGACACATGTAGGTCAGGTGCGGTGGCTCATGAGTGTAATCTCAGCACTTTGGGAGGCCAACGCAGGCAGATCACTTGAGGTCAGGAGTTCAAGATCAGCCTGGCCAACATGGTGAAACCGTCTCTACTGTAAATACAAAGAAAATTAGCTGGGCATGGGGGTGGGCTCCTGTAATCCCAGCTACTTGGGAGGCTGAGGCACAAGATTCGCTTGAACCTGGGAGGCGGAAGTTGCAGTGAGCCAAGATCACACCATTGCACTCTAGCCTGGGTGACAGAGTAAGACTCTGCTTAAAAAAAAAAAAAAAAAAGACACATGTACATATATGTTCATCACAACACCATTCAGAATATCAAAGACATGGGATCAAATAAATGCCCATCAACAGTAGACCGGATAAAGAAAATGTGGTGTATATACACTATGGAATACTATGCAGCCATAAAAAATAATGAGATCATGTCCTTTGCAGCAACATGGATGGAGCTAAGGCCATTATCCTAAGCGAACTAACACAGGAACAGAAAACCAAATATTGCATTTCTCACTTATAAGTGGGAGCTAAACATCAAGTACACATGGACACGAAGAAGGAAACAACAGACACTGGGGCCTACCAGAAGATGAAGAGTGGGAGCAAAGTGAGGACTGAAAAACTACCTATTGGGTACTATGCTTATTACCTGGGTGATGAAATAATCTGTACACCAAACTACACAACACGCAATTTATCTATATAACAAACCTGCACATGCACCCCTGAACCTAAAAGTTAAAAATAACATAAAATACTTCAAACAATAAATAATAATAAATTGGGCCAGGCATGGTGGCCCACACTTGTAATCCCAGCACTTTGGGAGGCCGAGGCAGGAGGATTTCAAGCCCAGGAGTTTGAGATCAGCCTGGGCAACACACGGAGACCTTGTCTCTATAAAAAAATTAAAAATTGGCCAGTCACAGTGGCTCCCACCTGTAATCCCAGCACTTTGGGAGGCTGAAGCGGGCCGTGAAGTCAGGAGTTCGTGACCAGCCTGGCCAATATGGCGAAACCCCATCTCTACTAAAAAATACAAAAATCAGCCAGGCATGGTGGCAGGTGCCTGTAATCCCAGTTACTCAGGAGGCTGAGGCAGGGAGAATTGCTTGAACCCGGGAGGTGGAGGTTGTAGTGAGCTGAGATCGGGCCACAGTGGTACATACCTGTAGTCCCAGCTACTCAGGACGCTGAGGTGGGAGAATCGCTTGAACCCAGGAGACAGAGGTTGCAGTGAACCAAGATTGTGCTGCTGCACTTCAGCTTGGGCAACAGGGTAAGACCCTGTCCCAAAATAAAATAAAAGTGGTATATACACAGTTTATATAGAAGTATTAAATTCTACTTATCAATGTGAATAAAATAGATGTTGAGACCTTATAAATATAGAATTGTTCAGATATAAACAAGTAATATTGTATTTAATGTAAAATTTATATTCCAGATCTCAGGTGTAGTTTAACTTTATCACTATATAAACATAATAATATTTTACAAAGGCATTAATAATATACTTTAAAATGTGATGTTAGTGTATTATATATAGTAGTATATATCTTTGTGTGCATATATTACATTTACATATAGTAGAGACAGAAAGATCATCAGAATCAGCAAACAAGGAAATAACAAAGATTCAAGGTTAAAAGATGAAGAAGGGAGTATAACAAATCAGGAAAGTTCAAGAGGAAATAGAGAATCAAGTTCAAATGGAACAAAAAAGAAAAGCAGAGCATCTATCAAGCCAACATAATTATTAAACACCCACTTAAAAAGTAGTAAGATTCAGCTGGGTGCAGTGGCTCTCACGCCTGTAATCTCAGCACTTTGGGAGGCCGAAGCAGGCGAATCACGAGGTCAAGAGATTGAGACCTGGCCAACATGGTGAAACCCCGTATCTACTAAAAATACAAAAATTAGCTGGGCGTGGTGGCGAGTGCCTATAATCCCAGCTGCTTGGGAGGCTGAGGCAGGAGAATCGCTTGAACCCAGGAGGAGGAGGTTGCAGTGAGCTGAGATCGTGCCACTGCACTCCAGCCTGGTGACAGAGTAAGACTCCGTCTCAAAAAAGAGTAAAATTCTTATAAAATAAAATGGTCACTGTTCCAAGTATTTACAGCCATGTTACATAGGAAAGAGTTGAAAAATTATATAATTATGATATGGGCCAGGCACGGTGGCTCACACTTGTAGTCCCAGCACTCAGTACTTTAGGACCCCAAGGTGGACAGATCGCTTGGGCTCAGAAGTTCAAGACCAGCCTGGGCAACACGGTGAAACCCTGTCGCTAAAAAGAAACACAAAAATTAGCAGGGCATGGTGGTGCACACCTGTAGTCCTAGCTACTTAGGAGGTTGAGGTGGGAGGATGGCTTGACCCCGGAAGGCACAGACTGCAGTGAGGTGAGATCACACCATTGCACTCCAGCCTTGGTGGCAGAATCAGACTCTGTCTCAAAAATAATAGTAATCATTATTGCAGTAATAATAATTAGTTACAATATATTATACTTATTATTACTATAATAATAATTATTGTATAAGGCAAGATACAGTGAAAGTCATGTCTTGGGAACAAATAAGTAAAATAAAAGCTCAGGAAAGAGAGGCATATTTAACTTGAATTCTTCAAGGAAAGTTTCAGTGAAGTAGACTTAAAATGCCCCCAAAAGATTAAATTTACATGAGCAGAAAGAAAGAAAAATACCCCAGAAAATGGGAGAAACACATAATAAGAAAGACACAGAGATGGGAATAAGGATGGTGTATAGGGAAGAAATGGGCAAGGAAGAAAAGTGTTAGGTGTAACCTTGGAGAAGAATTACTCCCTGAAACACATTAAAATGAAAGAAATTAAGCAGAAAGTTCATGTGAGGAGTAACGGGAAAAAGGGTTAAGGAATACAGGGGCTATTTATAGAATAACAGACTTCATCTGAGGCTTAGTTTTCTTTCACTAAGTAGACTCACCTGTGTGCTCCTTGGCCCCAGTCCCTCTCATTACCTGCATAACCTCCATACATGTGATGTGGCCCATTATGATTAAATCCCCAAAACTCAAAGGCATCACCTATAACCTCTGGCAGAAAAATACTGCCCTATTCACATGGATCCTGGGTGTAGGTACTCAGTCCAGAAAACCTGGAATTTTGTGCTTGGGTAGGATGTGGTATTCCTATAAAAGTGGATAAAGAGGAAAGTTTTGCTGTTAATAGTGTAATTCTTAACCTTTTTGGAGTTACAGACTTCTCTGAGACACTAACAAAGGTCTTCATTATTACTTCAGAAGATATTGAGCATATATGCCATGTGCTGGGGATAGAGTTAAAAATAGGACAGTATCTGCTCTCACCAAATGCAGAGTTGCGCAGAAAGACAAAACATTATTAAACAAGTGTAGGTTGCCATCTCTGAATCATCTAAATTAGGTTTTCCTTTTATTTCTGTTCATATCCATTATAGCATTTATCATAATCTGATAATCTGATAATTTACATTCTGGTTAGATAACCAAAATGTGTTATACTGCTGCATAATAAACCACTCACATTTAGTAGCTTAAAACAATTCATTCTCAGGCCGGGCGTGATGGCTCACACCTGTAATCCCTGCACTTTGGGAGGCTGAGGTGGGTGGATCACTTGAGGTCAGGAGTTTGAGACCAGCCTGGCCAACATGGTGAAACCCCATCTCTACTAAAAATATAGAAAAATTAGCCGG